ATCGATATGGACAGCAACCATCAACCCTAGACCTAATTGTTACATCTGACAGTGACATCTAATCTAGATATCTTGATCCATTCTAATCACTTAGTTCCCAAGATCGATCAGTAGATTTGTAACTATCCCAAAGGGAGAACGGTTTGATTTTTCAGAACTATAACAGAGAACAATTTTTTAATGAACACCTCAAAAAATGGATTCGTCGAATTTACTTTCTGATCAGTCGATTGAATAAAACTGACAAGTATTTAAAAACATACTTCGAGAAGGAAAAAGGTCCTCAACATATCTGTGGACTGATGCGAAAGTTATCAAATTTCTGAGAGTACAACGGGCTTTCAGACGAATGGGTAACCAAATTGATCACAAAGTTTATGGAAATTACTCCAATATTCTTTTAACCACAATTAAAAATGCGTGTATTGCTTATGGGAGACGCACTACTGATCAGCAAGTTGCTAAACGTTATTACAAACATGTTGGCAATGAATTATATGGTTCTGTTGCCACGCCGCAGTTATTACAGTTATTTATTGTATAAGTGGGTTATTTTAGTTATTACCTACTGGAGATATAGTATCCTACGAGCGCTTGCGCGAGTGGGTTTGATATCTCGTGTAGGTAATATCTAATAACCCACGTATGCCATATAACGTTTCATCCAATATTCCAGATTTTTTACTTTATAATAAAATTTCTTAATTTTGCCTCACTAACAAAATGATCAAATCTCGACTAAAATCTAATAAAGTTCGGTTCAGCAGTAAGCATGACAACGTAGTGTGTTTGTAAACACGTCAAAAATATGTATTGCTTTTTCGTGTACTTTTTTCCTAAATAAGAGGGAATGGAAGACACTCTATTTATTCCCCATGATTCTAAAGGCAGCGATAAAAGTTGCGGAAAATTTACTTCCACCAGTCCTAGGATAATTATGAGAAGTAAATTGTCCATTTTACTTCATGGAGAAAGTCAAGAGGAGTTCGTGGAACTAACGAGGATATACTCATGGCATAATTTCAAGGCCTTTCTAAAACATATGTGTGATCTTCCCCCATGGCGAAATGACATTTAAAAAGCTGCAAGATACTTTACAAAAAAATACCGGATATCAAGAGCTTGTCAGCAAAGTATTACAAGGCGAAAATGTAGAAAAAGATTTAAAAATGAAACCCCCTGAAATTTCTAATTTTAAATATTCTCCTTTAACATCGTGTGATGTTGAGAGATTCTTCTCTAGGTATAAAAATATCCTAACAGACAAAAGGAAGAATTTTTTTGCCGAAAATTTAGAAAAACATCTAATTCGTTACGCAAATTTTAACGATGATTAGGATCGCTGATTATGTAAAATAATAAAATAAATGTAGATCTCAAACCAAACGTTGCGCAAAATTTATTTTTCCTAAAACTTGCCATTTTTCGGGCCTGTATTAAATTCCCCATTTTTATCGATTATTTTGGCTTTCTTTTCTAGCCTAAAATCCGCTCTTTACTTATTATGTGTTTCTTCGGTAACATCTAAAAATTAAACCAACTGTTGCCAAGATGTTAAAATAAGAATTTTTCCCCATATACATATATATGTATTTCGTAAAATACTGTAGCAGGCGACTTTTTATTAATACAAAATTATTAAATATAGTCCATCACAGTTTAGAGGATTTTTTTTTGCAATATTAGTGGCAGCATGCAACTAGATTTTGTTTGTTTTGCTGTCAGAAATATCGCCTTGTAGTAGTTTAATGGAACATTAAATGCTAGTGCGGAACAACTGTATTCTGTGCAAGCGTGTAAGGATTATAAGGATGCATATATCCTAATGTTAACATCTAGGAATGTTTTTTAGATACTCGCATAATAAAAATAGTAGACCGATTCAACAGCACTGGAAATGTTTTTAAAGGGAACTCACCAAAAAACCCTTCACTTAGTGAAGACATCGTTGAAGATTTGAGAGAAAGGATGGAACAAATCCCAAAAAAATCTTTCAATAAACTTTCTTTACAATCTAAGGGTGTTCCGTACACTGCTTGTCAGAGAATTTTGAAAAGATCATTCCGTGTCCATCCTTATCAAATATCATCAGTTCATGAACTTAAGTCAGGTGATTATCGTCGTTACGTTGTATATTGTTCTTGGTGTCAAAGAACATGGACGACTGCACTTGTAGTTTATCAGTACGACCATATTTTATAAAACTGCTTACACTAGATGTCTTAAAAAATTAATAAATTAAACAAAACTGGATATCTTATTGACCTAAATTTGTAGGAAATATATGTATAATATGTTTATAATACACTGTACCTTTCCAGGTTGATATATATTTCTTTGCTAAAAATTCGATGAGGTCTTCATAAAATTTTACTCGGAGACATTCGTGTGAAACATATATATGTATAGCATTCTTCTTTGCCTACAATTTAATAATCCCTACCTATTTTTATTTTAACATACGAGGATACTCCCAGAAAAATCCGACCTGACATAGAAGACACAAAAAATTTGGGAAAAGGACTCTTTATTTTTCAAGGTAGTCCTCTTGTAATTCTATACACTTTTCCCAGCATTGTTCAATGGCTTCGATACCCTGTTTATAGGAAGAATCGTCGAACACCTCAAAATAGCCATTAGCCGCAGATTCCACCTCTTTATTGTTGGCAAATTTTTGACTAGCGAGCCATTTTTTCAAGTTTAGGAAGAGAAAATAATCCAAGGGGGCCAAATCTGGTGAATAGGATGTATGAGGAAGTAACTGGAATGTTAATTCGTTAATTTTGGCCACTGCAATAAGGATGTCTGAACAGGTGCATTGTCTTGATACAGCAATATTTTCTTTTTCGACAATTACGGCCGTTTTTAATTGATTTCATCGCTCAAACGCGGCAATAAGTTCGCATAATACTCGCTGTTGATGGTTTTGACTTTTTGGAGACAATCAATAAAAATTATTCCACGGGTGTCCCAAAAAACTGACGCCATTACTTTGCCAGCAGACGGAACTGTTTTCGCTTTCTTTGGCGCTGATTCCAGTCCATTATTTTGACTGTTGCTTCGTCTCTGGAGTGAAGTGATGGACCCATGTTATGAATCGACGCCGAACCTCAGCTTTATTGCTGCGAAACATTGCTCAACACCCAATTGAAACACCTTCACGGCGCTCTTTTTGTTCTATAATAAACAAACGCGGCACTCATCTTTCTTACAGCTTTTTCATGCCCAAATTTTCGGTCAATATGAGATGTACACCACTTTTTGAAATGCCCAACATGTCTGCTATTTCGCGTAATTTTAGTGGATGGTCATCTAATACTCTTTTGTGGATTTTCTTTACCATTCCCGGTGTGGTCACATCATTTGGTCGATCACTGCGATGTACATTTTGGCAGCTCCTACGGCCTTGTTAAAACTGTTAATGCCACCCAATATTTTATAGTTGTAAACGAAGGAGCATACCCCTCTAAACTAGAATCCAGCTCGGCTTTGATATTGGTTGGACTGAAACCTTTCAAGTGAAACTATTGTATCACATAAAGATGACCAATTTTTTACATATTTACAACTTCACTGAGATCAGTCGCTTTTAACCGCTATAAATAACGTAGGACCTTGAAATTTCAAACTTTCTATACGTCAGGTCGGGTATTTCTGGGATCATCCTCGTATAAGGATTATCATAAAAAAAAACAGAATCATTTTTTTTAATCTATCTAAGAAATTGAATTTATTCTGCTTTAAGAGCGAGATTATTCTGTCGAACAGCCTTAGACTAATTTTGTGATATCATAATGTTCTAGCATTACTTTCTCGTCTTAAATTAATGCTAGAATTTTTTTTATAAAAGCGCTACATACCTCTATAATATTGGATCGAAAAAACTGTGAGGTTTAAAAATATCTAAACTGCACTCTACTATATCTGCGGGTTTTTATAAATTCTTCAGATCTTACCAACCACTTCACACTAAAATGTATCTTTCAGCGGTCAAACACATCGAGAGTACATTAATCATCACGAATACGTTAATGTTCATTTTCACCACTCCACATTTAAATTTCTTTTCTCATACAGACAACATATCAAATAATACCAAAACTCATGCATCATGAATTTGATAAAATTTGCTTTGTTTCCTTGTCCGGTTTGTGAATATATCATTATCTGTATTAGCATTGTAGTGAATTAACGTTTGAAGAAATATATTTATAAGCTCAGATATAGAGCGAAAAGGGATACATCCATCACGCTTATAATCACAATGGCTTTAAGATAAATCCCACCATTTTCACTTAGCTTTATATTTTATTATGTTTAACCACTGGTTGCAAGCAGTATTTAAATAAAAATAAAGCTGTAGTTTTTATGTACATAATTCTGTTAATTTAGGACTATTTAAGAAACACTGATTCAGTATTCTTTCGTTATAACTTTTACGATGCTGTCAATGTTTTTAGTGACATGTTTTAAGTTTTAAAAGTCACACATAGGCATTTAAAATGTACATACATAAAAATGCGTGCAAGTAATTAAATCTTACACATCGAAAGCAAAAAAGAAAATTTAACACAACGCTTGCTTGGCTGGAAATTTTTGTTCCGACGCCGTTGAAAATATGAATATATACGATAACTTTAGTGACGCTGTTTCACATGAAGCCTAAAGCTTAACGTAATTTTGAATTTATTATCACACAAAAAGATCAAATTATTGTGAAACAATGTTCATGTTTCGCAAAATATGAAAAAATAAATAATGAGGGTTTTCTCGCAAATGAATCATTTTACCTTCGTGTGTAAAATACAGTCCACATACCCGAAAATGTTTGATGAATGTCATTCTTAAATTTTCTAATGACCTATTTTATAACATTTATCACAACTTTGTTTATTCTCAAATGTATTGCCATTAATATACAGTAGACGGGTATTTTTTATACTTACTTATTTGGACTGAACATTTTTAAATAAATTTTAACTACTACTATTCATTTACAGGTTGAAGCAATGAGCACAGAAAAGTCGGTGAGGGTGCGTGTGAAAGTCTACGACAACACAACTTCCATCTACAGTCAAGATATAGAAATATCCAACGGCGAGGGCACTTTCGTTGTTCCTGCTATATTGGCCGACAGCGATATTATTGCACTACAGGTAAATAATATTGTCTCAAGTGTTTTACATATTTTATTAGAAAACTCGAAATTGCAACCACACAGAACCCAAGCGAAATATAAATATCATTTAAATGTAAATACAGATCCACTTTACCGCAGACATTTAGATTTTCGCTTATTCTTTCGCTTATTGGAAGCGTACCCTTCAAAGATTGTGTCTAATGAAATTTCTTTCCTTTCGTCCGAAATAAAATAGAGTTCTCTATTAACAGCTTTTGCACTTAACGACATTTACAATCTTGGATAAAAGAAAATGTAAATCAATGCCAAAACAGTTCGGTGTATACGATATTTGTAAGTTATTATTTAAGTATTTTTAATTATAAAGATGTGCATAGTACATTTTTTCGACCCATGTAACGTATACTTTCTAGATATGCGATGGCATCTTTTTATTTTGTTGTCATTTGCTAATATTTTAAAAATATACTGTCAAAATGTTCAAATATTTACCCATATACTTGACAAGGTACTTTTTATTAACAGAAATGTTGTTAAATACAATTACAACTCGTTTCTGCATAATACATCTTTCATGTCCTCATTCGTTTTCTAAAAAGTTAAAGCCTCTGCTGTCAGTTTAACAATTCACGAATGTAGCGAAGGCGCTGTATTTCATTTAAATAACTGTTAAGGATAAATGTGATTCAGCCTCTGCACGAGTGTATAAATTCGACTTGCAAAGTAAAAGACTTTTATCTTTTCATCATTTATCTAAATTTTAAGGTGTCACTGTTTTATCATTACTGATATTAAATTTTTCAAAATATACTTAAATACTTTTCTGCAGTAAAACGCTTTTAACGATCTCAATTGAATAAAAGCAAATTTAGCGATCTCTTCTTTCAGGAAGCTTAAGTGCAAGAACATGTAGTCAGGTAATACATGAGATGGGATGTGAACGAATTTCTATGAGCTCCACAGTGCTCTCTTTATTTAGTGATACACACACATTAGAGCGACAAGGATGAGGATCGATTCCGGGTTAGACAAATTTTAACACGCACGTTCTCGCCGTGTAAACATCAATCAGTTGAAACAGCAAATCATGCAGTCAAAAACAGATTGAAAGTTGTTAAATCTGTAAAACCATTTAATGCACGTTATTCGTTAACGTAGTTATTGGTAAAACAGCTTCGCACTGATTAGTGAAGTTGAGTGGGTTAACGTTTTTTTATGGAGAATAAGTATCTCGGAAATTATACAACTAGTAAGTTCGTAAATTTAAATAAACGGCAAAATTTTCTCCGTTGATGATTTTATAGCGAAGGGAAAAGTTGTAGAAAATTCAAGAGAATTTTTTTAAACTTAACTTACCCTTCCTTTATTTCTGTTTAATTCTTAAATAACGCCAGAATAATCTTAAACCAATTTGCTATTGGCAGTTAGATCTAGCTAATAGTCACACGAAATAAGATTTAAATTACGTATTGCATTCAGTTCATAGTCTTCATTTCCCTCTGCGGCGAAAGACACTTACAATGTGAAGTATTATATCCAAGAAGCAACAAAAATTCTAGTAAAATGGTACTAGGGGGGAATTCTTTAAAACAAGTTCGAGCCGCCCCAAAAACAGAGTTTACTTATATACAATTCGGCGAGTTGGTAAATATTTTCACAGTCCTAGTAATGTTAGCAAATCATGTAAATGGCAATTAATTCGACCACAAATGAAAAATCAACTGTTGAAAATCTTACACAGAATAAAAATGGTAAACTAGACAAAATGCAACTATTTTGAAAATTTTGAAAAATCAATCAACATTTTCAAATATTTCAGGGGTATAAATAATTCATTATCATTATGAATCGTTCAAATAATAACAGAAATTTTATTAGGTATCTGTGAGATGAGAATGGCTTTGAAAGACTTTTTAATTTTCATCAACATTTACCTTTACGACTTGGCTTTAAAGTCATTAAGAGAAAAATTATTACCGCTTATTTAAATTTATATGCAAAGTCCTATCACCTCTGGAAACAAATATTTATATCAATATCTCCATTAATTATATTACTCGCATTCAAATTACAAAGCAAGAGAACAAAAATTAAATCCATTCAGTAGTCGTAACGAAATTACTCCACATGTGATAAAATATCAAAGTTTTGCAATCGGATACAAAACAGATAAAAAGCATTTTTTAAAGATTTAATTACATTGTTGTTTTTTACTTTTTTCTGAATACGCAAACTTTTTTTAACGTAAAATTTAGGGTACCTAAAGTATGTTTAAAAATTTAGAAAATTTGCCAAGATTAAATGTATCTAACATTGTTACTAAGGAGGGACATACTAATAAATGTTTTCACTTCACTGGAATATTTTAAAGCAAATGAATTTTGTTGCAACTACTTAACCACTTCGCACCATTACTTCGCAGAGGATATTAATTAGTATTGTTTTTAAGTACACATTTGGCTAACCTAATTTAATTTCGGTCGTTTTATATTGGACGATTAAACAAATTACCACAAAATTTACTTTAGCTTATATAATGGAGTTTCGCTTTAAAATATTTTGTGTATTTTTTCTTTTAGTATGTTAAGAATAGTAAACAGACACAAAATTCAAAAGATAAAAGTCTGTGTTGAGACAAATGAAAATACACAACAAATCGCTCCAGCATGCTCTACAGAAATCTGTAGGACTTTTACTGAGTTGGAAATTCTCACATTTGAAATTAGCATATTTTTTCTTTTTTTAAATTATACTCCTACAAATTTCTAGCATTTTATAAATTCCATTTTCCGAATCCGTTCCAGAAATTTAACCATACATACCATTAGTGCATCAATAATGTAACCGAATTCTTTTCATTGGACTAACTTACAAAACACTGTCTTTAGAAATTCTTATAAAAGATCTTGAGCGCAAGTTTGTTTTTAAGCGCATCGATTCTTAGTTACGATTTGGACGCTAAAATATTTACTTTTAACGAGTTCTGAATAGAAAATGGACAATTGCATACCTATCTGATATCTGTTAGATTATTCCAAAGACAAACCAACAATCACAAAATCAATAGAAACGTTTGAAAACTTAAAATTCTTCAAATTTAAAGAAAATTTCTCAAAGTCAATATGAGACGAAATATGCACAATTGTGTTGTTTGTTAGTACTTTCTTACAAATAATTAAATTCGTGCACAAATGTAGATGTCGTTGTTCTGGATCAAACGATCGAAAGCACGGTCATCCAAATAAACAAAGTGTTATGATAGTATTGTAATGATTATTACAATTTTCTAGACAAATAAAAGTTTTGGTGAAAAACTAATGCCGTTCTTGATGTGGTGTTTTGATAAAAGTATCACTTGTAGAGGGTCCTTACAGTGTATAAACTTTCTAGACCGCCAATCACCTCTTTTACGTAATCTTTCAAACTAGTTTTTCCCCATATCGCCGATAAAATTACACCAAATGTATATCGTCATCAATGAAAAATTTTTGGCGGTAACGTTAATATACCACTTGCCTGCTTCACGTTATGAGGTTTTAAGATGTGCTACTGAATTGCGTAATAGTTTACCGTCGTGGATATCATTATGAATTAAAATAATAAGGAACTGACACCGATATCATGACAGTTTCAGACAAGGACGTCATGATAAATAAAGTGTGAGAAATGTGGCAAATATGCTTATAAAATGAAGGCATGTAAAACAGAATTAATCCAAACTCAAGGAACAAATTATTATAAACTGACTCATCCCGTAGATAATAATTCAAGAAAACGCAACTAGTTTTCTTTTCTAAATCTACCAAATTTGCAGTGTGACATCGTCAACTTGCAATTTCAACGATTCACGTGAATAGAATACACGCGGTACAGAAACCAAAGTAGGTACTTTGATTGTAAAAGGACGTTTGTTTGCGTTTCTCAAAAATGCCCTCGGAAAATCTAAATGTGGTAATTATAATTCGTCTCGACCTATGGTGACCGATATGTGTACAATTAATTTTTTTTTTTTTTGTTTATCTTGCTAATTTTATTAACAACAAACATTTGCTGTTTTTAGTGTCATAAGTAGGAATAAAACAGAAAAAAATGACTATAGTTAGATGAATGGAATACTTATATGTATTAACAGTTATTATGAAAAATTTGTGCATAGGAATCGAGTATTAAAGTAGAGTCCTGAACACTGTCGAGTTAGTGAAGGGAGGTTGGTTAATGATTTAATCAAATTTGTTCCCATAATTTTAGGTTAATACTGTAGCTAGAACAAAGTAGGTGGAATCGCTGGCCGTGCCAGAGTAATAAATACCAGTAAAATTGGCTCTACATATTATTTTTTCCAAATTAATATAATTATAAAATTTATAATCATCAAATGTGCTTAATTTTCGCAGTTATGTGGTTAAGTTTTCTTTAATCTTCCATCGTCGCCTTTTTATTAATATCAGTGGTAAGAATCTCACCTCAATTAATCTTATCGTACTCGCTGTTTTTGTGAACTGTTCTTACTTTCATTCCTGTACACTTTTTTCTTAGAGCTGTCCGCAAACCAGTGCTTCCAAAACAAATCATTCTTGTTGCTTTTGCATACTTTTAGAATGAACACTAAGAGTTGTACAGTTGTACATGTTGTGGGAGTTATACTAAACTACACAAAGCGGTAAGTCGATGTATGTGTAGTAAGACATACAAGGAAAGTACATCAGACGTCAAGTCTTTCTTGGTCATGTAAAACTTGTATGGGTGTAGCCAATGCTTTACAATAGGAAATTAAGGTATTAAAAAAACTATTTCTACAACAAAAACCACAACTATCTTCACTGATAACGGTAGCGCATTGCTTCAAACTAAATGTAATAATATATTTATGGTTTTAAGGAAACCAATAATAGTAGCGATCAACAACAGATGTCTACGGATGCTAATACCGTCCAGAAACGAGTTACGGGTTTAAAAATTTCTGAATCCACTTCACCAATTCGCCTTGGTAAATAGGATGCATCTAACGACTCTCGA